ATAGAAGTTATCACCACTTAAGCGGAATCTATTAAGACCATAGAATCTCAGAGATGAATTTAAACAATCTACCTTCTCTATTTCTACTATCTATACTACACTCCTACTTCCATGGCTGAATCCTCTCCCTGATACATTAAGCAGTAATTATCAGCCTATTTTTGAAATCTTCAGGCACAAAAAGCTCTCTACTTCCTGAAGCTGCCCATTCCACCAGCCAGTAGCTCCAATTTTCAAAACGATCTTCCTTATATTAATCTGAAATTCAAGGGTCCATAGTTTCTTCTGCTGAAAGCATGTGCAAGTCTCTGGGAACTATCTCAGGCAGTGGAGTTGAAGCCTGAGGATATTTCTTTTACAAGTTTCAAAGTTCAAACTGCCAGAAAGAGCCCTGAAAGGGTCTAAGGTGTTAAAGGCTTCCATAAAACTGGTGAAGAAAATAACAGATTGTATCAAAGAGCACCAGTAGCGTATGGAAGAACTGGTTGTTAGGTGATCTGGCTTTGATCTGCCACTCGTTTGTCAGCAGAGTTGATTAGCTCACTTGGCTAGTTGAGAAGGTGGCCCTTCCTCCATGTGTGGTCTTCCTCAAGCCCCATGCTAAGGCAAAGAAGTTGACCTAAGCTCTGTCTTCCATAGGTCAAAGGTACCTGAATAGTTGAGTTATTTCAGTAGAAACTCTGAATATGGAATTGCAGTTTGAAGCAGCCAAAATATCCATTTTTATAGCTGGGAAGAGACTCTAACATGCAGAACATGTTGTCATGGAGAAGCCAGTGATGAAATGTGTTGGTTTGAGCCATAGCAACAGTTCATCTTTATATGCAGAAGAAATGGAAATCCATTTTAATCATCAATGGAAAGATAACCATTCTTAAGTTCCTTTCCAACATCTATCATAAACATACTAAGTTTCCTTGTAAAAATAAAACAACTGAGTTTTCCCCCCATCTTGTGATTTACAATGGCACCTGAAAATTGGTGTCCTATCCTCTTGTGCCCTTAGTGGCCACTCAAAAGAGAACAGGTTTTATTCATTAATTATATCATTGATTTATTCACCAAACATGCATTGAGCACTCATGGTGTGTCAGACACAATCATTAGTACTAAAGGTAAGAAATCCTGAAATCTTCAAATAAAATAGTAGAGTGTGGGTGGATTGGAGTTGATTGGGTTAGAAGATATTGAGGAAGGTGATTTGATGGTAACTAAATATGAGAGTAGTGAATGCATCAAGATTAACTCTCAGATTTCTTATATGAGGAGTTGGGGAGATGGTGGTGAGTCCACAAACTTGGGTAAGGCACTCAATTTTGCAGGAGCAACATACTGAAGGAAATCTGTAGGGAAAAGGTGAATGGTGTATTTACCAATGATGATATTTGGGCATCAGGGTCTGGGAACTTTTCTTCAGATATGGAAGCCCAGGCTTGGTGGTGTAGTGGACTTTATGGTAGAGAACTAGCATCTTTTCTATAAAGAGCCAGATTTTCTTTTTTAAATAAGAGCTCCTGGTTAAAAGCTGTGTGTCAGATCCCATATGGGGGCTCTAAGATCTAATTTTACTTAAGGGCTCCAAGGCACAGAGGCTAGCCAAGATTCTGAGAAGACATCAAATAAAAATCTTGGAACCAATAGAAAGCAATTTTCATAATTAGGAGAAACACAGCACCCCATATATCATCATTAGTCTGAGACAAGGAACAGAAGGTTGGGGAGGGGAAAGGATGGTTTCTCTAAACAGGGAACAGGTGGCCAGTGCAGTCAGGGCCAGCTAGGAAAACCTTAGGCAACTGTGCTCGAAAATTTCCCTGCTCCTCCCCTAGAGACTCTCAGATACAGAGGAAAACAGGATGATTAGTTATTGGCAATTAGTTATTAGTTATTGGCAATGGGTGTTTTCCTCTATGATAGTGTTTTATTCTTACAGAGACACAGAGAAAGGCCAAAGGATAGAATTTAATGGCACCCATAGACACTGTGGAAAAATGAAGTGTTTTTGTATATCCTGATAAAGTGAAGTTTTGATGTTACAGAATGTCCAAAATGCTATTTGGCTTTCCTTTGAATTGCTTCCTGCAAAGTTAATTGTTTGCTCCCAATCCATAATTGATGATAGCTTTTCCCCTGTTGCAGTTAGACCAAGGAATCTTGGCAGTCTAGTGCTATAGAAGCCAGACACATGCAGGTAATAACACCCCAAGAAGAGCTGAAATATTAGCCTTCTGAGACACAGGCTGTGCAAATTTCTCTGGCTTACAAAGGAGACACCAGTTATACCTTAGAGCTTGTCTTGTAGACTTAGTTTCATAAAAGTTGTATAATAATTTTGGAAACTACAGATGACATGTCAGAAAAAAATGCCAGAGGAAAAGCTCTGGGGAGCCTGATTAATCAGTTTCACAGTAAGTATAAGGAATGAGGGGGTTCTCATAGCTAAAGTCGTGATTTGCATGTCTAATTTTCATCTGCCATTGCTTCTCCATTCCGATGATGTCCAGTACAGAGTGACCATGCAGTGTTGGTTGATTGAACAGCAGCCACCACATACATGTCCTGCCCCACCACAAAAGGAAGGAAGGAAAAAAGAAAGGAAGAAACAAACAGACAAAACTAAGCCAGACAAAGCAAATACCCATGCAGTGGTTCAAAGATTAACCTCGTGGCTTTATGTAAAGTTCTTTCACTTTGCAGACTTGCTGCATAATTATTCAGATATGAGGTTACAATTTTTAAAAAGGAAGGGAAATTGTGGTATGTAAATATTTTTAAATGTTGTTTCTCTGTTTTGATCAGTTTTGCTTTATTCAATTTGCCTTTATTAAATCTTATCAAGGCAAAACTTGTTCTTCCCATTTCTCTTGTTTGATTACAGGACTACTGAATAGAGAGCTTTCTGATTTCTCCAAGGGAATTGTTTTGTAGAAAATGCCATGCTAGGTTTCCCTTGCCACTGCCTCTTTCTGCTGGGAAGGTAACCTTTACCAAGAGCTATAGCCTCTTAATCTTTTAGTGGAAATTGCTCTTGTGAAAACGAGCCCTGATAGTATCTTGGCTCACTAATTCATGCCATGTGGCCCAAAATTAAAGCATTAAAATTTCATAGATATAATACCATTTATAAATCATGTCATAAAAGCATTCATTTTCTTATAGACCTTGAAAACTGGGCATGTATTCTTCCTCCAGTTGTTGCTTAAAGTTCATTATAGCACACCACTATTTGTCAAAAACAAAGCTCTGGTAAAGTGGGGAGACATTTAGCAGCAACACCCTCAGAGCATCAAGGCACTGTCCTCCCAGCATTGTGCACATGTTGCTCCCATTAGTGGTCATGGAAACTGTGAGCCCACCTCCGTGTAATCAGGGATTCCCGGCAGAATTGTATTAATGGAGCAAGTGGTTCTGGGAGGGCAGCTTTATCATTCTTTATGTCCTTATTCTGTTCACTTGGAGAAAGAGACTATTTACCATTTTCCCTAAATTTATCTCCTATAAAATTTCAATATGTTTAGTGGATGAAGACAACAGACTAATTAAGTAGACGGCCAACATTTGCCACATTTCAAAAAATGACAATGACAGACGATTCTTTTTGCCATTTATTCTTAGGCAGCAGATGGGGACTTGATAATTGTTTAAGCAACAAATAACTTGCCCTAATTTACTATCTAGTTTTTTGTTTGTTTGTCTTTGGCTATGCCTGAATAAAAACCCTTTTGTCCATTTGAAGTGGTGGAAATTAGAATATCCATGTTGAGGTGTTTCCGGGAGGTACATGCCACGTATTTGGCTTGCAGATGCTAATGAACATCTAATCACATTTGCCACCCATAAAATCCCTATTGGTAAAACACTTTCATCTGCAATAATCTGCTACTTTCTTGAAACATGCTAATTTTCTTAAATAATGTAGAGGCCTATAAGGACTTCTATTTTATGTAAACAACTCGATGTAGTAAACAATCAGATGCAAGAGGTCATTATATCATAATCTGGACTTCGTTACTTTTCAGGAGTTTGGGGATTTTGTTTGTTTGCTTGTGTTGCCTTGTTTTAATTTCATCAGGCTAGCATTTCATAGTAGAGTATTAAGATGGATTCTTTGACCTTTGGTATGAAAAGTAGCTGAACCATCTTTTTATTGCTTGATTTATTGGATTGGAGAAGATTTTATCTATTCAGTATTAAAGATTAGCCCCAGGAAACTGGGAGCTACTCTAAAGTATGGAATTTCTAAGTCGAGTGCATTTTCTCCAGGCTAAAATCAACTTAGACACAGATATTTGATGGTGTAGAATTCCCTTAATCTTTGAGGCACAGCATCTGTATGCTCATTCACATGGACACGTTTTACATACACTACCTACCCATGCCACCAGGCTCATTTATCTGGTATGTAATCTGATATGTGTTTTTGTGCTAATTGAAATATTGGTTTATTTGTTGTCAGCCTGAGATGCCTACTCCAACAAGGCTAAAAACAATTTCAAGCAGAATATAAATAAGAAGCATCTGAGGATATACCTATGCATACACAAATTTGTGTGTGTGTGAACATACATATATTCTACACAAATGCACTGAGGGAGAGAGCAAGAGGGAGTTTCTATTTTCATTCTATCATGCTTACATATATTCATATGCTTTCACGTTGGGTATAGCTTTGGATCTGAGAAAACCAGACTATTATATGTCTGGTAACTTCACTGGAAAATCTGAAAGAATCTAAATTAGCCAGTCCTGCGGATCTTTTGGATACATGAATTCATATGTCCATTAATTTGTTTTCTTTTTGCTTTTTATTGTGGAGAGGGGAGAAATCCAAACATACACAAGTATAAACAGAATAATATAAAAGAAACCTCTACACATCGATCACCAGCTCCAGAAAATACCAACTCATTGGACTCTGCAGCCCCATCTTCATTGTCAGTCACATCTTCCCAACCCTTCTCCCACCTGTGTTTTTTTGAGGCAAATCCAGTATCATATTATTTCATTTCAAAATATTTTATTATGTACTTTTCTAAGATAAAAACATAGTTTTTATGTATGAGTAGAATACCAATCCCACAGTAAAACAATTCACCATCAGTCTTCATGTCATCAAATCCCCAGTCAATGCAATTATCTAATGCATCATACATTTTTTAAGAAATCATAATTCAAATAAAATACATACATTGCTTGTCCATAGATTGATTTATCTTGAGACTTTTAAAAATATATGGGTACTCCTCTCCTTTTATTTTTTTCTTCTTGCAGTTCATTTGTCAAACTGCAAGGAAAAAAATTGATTGTTTGTCCTGTACCTTCTCACAGTCTAGTTTTTGCTGATTGCATCCCACGATATAGCTTAATATGTTCTTTGGTCTCTTATTTAGAGTAGTTGGATCTAGAGGTTTTATTATATTAGATTTTTGTGGGTTTTGTTGATAAGACATTCATATATGTGGTCTTTTCTACTTAATAAAAAGCACACTATATGCTTTATCTCTTTTTGAAGTGCTAGCCATTAATGTTCAATGCCTAAATCCATTAGTTTGTTAGAGATTACAAAATAGTGGTATTCTTATTTTCTCATGCCTTCATCATCATTTATTAGATGTGATATTTTTATAATAAAAATTTCCTCCTTTATATTCCTTGGTGACCAGTAGTACAACTAGTGTAGCCAAGGGAGGATAAACTCTTGATTCTTTTATTTACAGTTTTCAAAATTATCATTAGTTCCCTACAGTGTCGCTCAGTACTCAATAATTTTTTAGTATCATGAAGAACACAAGGATTTAAAATTTATTGAAGTATTTCAATCTATTGCACTTACATCATCCCTGTTGATGCTCAAATTGTCCCATCTTTGGCTTGTAGGAGGCTCTTACAGGTTGTTCTCACATTCTTTTGACAGATTCATGTCCACTCTCCACTTTGTTGGGGACATTGAATCCCAGGGAGTTTGGAAATTGCTGCTACCCTCTCCCTTTCACTAGGCCTACCCTTTCTGCCTCTTGCTCTTTCTGGGTCTTCTGTCACATGCCTTTAACTTGGGGATAGCTCCTGAAGGAGCCAGTGTTTATGTGTAAATTATTGAGAAAAACAAAAGTGCTAGAATACATTAGTTTTCAACAACCTGTTTTATTCTTCTCACATTTTTATGTTATCTTAGGGAACCACATTCACCTGGTGTTTGGAATTCTAACTTTTTGGTAGCCCCTTAGCCCCAGGTTGCAAATTGCTGTACTCTTTTGTGTCTTCAGCACTGCGTGGCTTGTGGTAGTCACTTGAATACTTGTTGAATGAATCAATGACTGAAAGAACAAATAAACAAATAAGCTCAGGATCTCTTTTTACTTTAAGGCATAAATCTATTTTAGATATGGTGCCGTGAAACAGAACAATCTTAGCTGATAAGAGAGAGTTGATATTGCATGTGCAGAATGAGAGTACATTTCTCAGTCATTTGGGAGAGGGGCTTCAATAGGCAACTGTCCCTTGAATGGAAAACCGTTCTCTGTACAGTCTTTCAGACACTAATTTTGACAAGCACCAAAGCAAGACACATGCTTTGGAGTATTATGTTATGGGATTTTATGCCAAGAAGTTGAAATAATTTAATGGATCTGGAGGGGGTGGAGGTAGCATAGAATTATGGTTGCTTTATCCATTTTTTTCTGATCTGTTTAGGTGATTTATCGATTCTGATTTCCCTGAATTGTTTAGTGCTGAGATTTCATGGAAATAGGTGTTCTAAAACCCACTAAATATTGTTTTTTAATTACCTCACGGCCTCAAAGGAACAAGTAATCCTCATCTTCTTTTTATTGGCACTAAAATTCTCTATAACCACCAGCTCCCATAAAAATCATTCTTTTTAAAGCCTTGTTTTTTACTAAGGAATGTTGATTTTCTAGATACATCACTGCAGGATGGAGTCAGGCAAAGAATAATTATTGTCATTCAAGTCAGTGTTTCATAATCTATCTGGGTGCTAGGAGCCACCCCAATTGGAAAGAGTACATGGTTATAATAAAATTATCACCAGACAAGGAAAGCAATAATTTTGTAACATGTCATGTGTCTGTGTTCACATATATACACAGCTGGGGAGCAAAGGTAAACAGTTTCCTAAGCACTCACTAAATTCATGGTTATCAAGTGTCTTATTCCTTAAACCAACAGTCTGCATGGACATTTTTACTGTACTCACTCCAAAGTAAATAATTTTTGAGCATTTAACTTCAACAAATTAGGTTGAACCATATGAAACTGACATGGGTCAAAAATACTTGAACATTGGCAATTTCATATTTTTCAACCTTCTAATTTTATTTATTAGTTACAAATATGTACATATGTACTATCATCATTAATTAATGTAACAAGCACAATAACTCTTTGGATAAGGGTCACTAATATATTGGGTGTAAATCTGCACTTCCAATAGTCTCCTGGGTAATTTCTAAATCATTGAGTTAGTTCTGATGAGATCAAATCATCACAGTTTTTACTCTGATACTGTGGCTAGCTAGAAACTTACCCTGTGAGATATGTCAGCTCTGACAGTTTCTTGTGTCTGTGTGCTTGCCTTGTTACTATTTTTTAGTCAGTCTATGGTTTCTTTGCAGAAATCTCTTTATGCCCCTTGTCCATTTTGAGAGGGCTAATTGATAAGTCGAAACTAAATAATACAATACATATATAAACCAGTTTGACTCGACCACTTAATTTAGAATATGTTTCACAGTACTCAAAGAGAAGGTTTCACATGTTGAGTCTGACATGCAGTTGAATGATGGTGCCGTAGACAATTAGGATATTAGATTTTAGTAGAACTTAATTTATTTCTAATTTTTCCAGTGACACAATGGATATAAATGAAAGTTCAAATCTAATTTGAGTCATGCCTCCCACATGCAGTCTTTCCATGTGGCTTGAATTTATCACAGCATGGTGGCTGGGTTCTGAGGCAGAGCATCTGAAAAGTAAGAATTCCAAGAAATTAGGTGGACATCATATAGACATTCATGACCCAGCCTTGGAAATCACATAGTGTCACTTCCTCATCCTTAATTAATTAAAGCAATTACAATCCCACGTAGACTTAAGAGGAGGGTACATAGACATCTCTATAGAAGGAATGTCAAAGAACTTTTGGCCACTGTTTATAAACCACCACACTACTCAATGCATGAACCCCTTAACAAATGGCCATCCACATTTACTACCTCTACTGATAAGGAGTTCATTATCACAGAATGTAAACTATTCCTTTTTTGGGACAGCATTAAATATTAAAAATATTTTCTCAAGTGGAACAAAAATATGCTTTCTTCTTACCCAGTTTTTGTTCCCCCTTCTGCCCTCTGGGACAATGTAAGTCAGCTTTCCTTTTTGCTTGGAAGTAGTTATCAAGTGAATTGTGTTTTCTTTTGGATGTTCGCACTCCTAGTTGCTTTGACTGTTTCCTATTTCTCTCATCACGTGGTTATCTTCTAAGCAGACAACACTTTATTTCTATTTCTCTTAAAGTGCTACTAAATTTGAACCCATATACCATTTAATACTACCCTTGCGGGCTGGGTTGTTACAATACTATTTGTGTGTGTAATAGTTTCTCAAAAGAATTATCTATAGAACAGTTCATTTGCACAAACTGTTAATATATAATTTTTCAGATACTCAAAGTGCCAGCATACTCTGAGCCAATGAGGAGCTGATATGGGAGACGGTACTGGATGCTGTCAGGTGGCAAACGTTTGTGCCCCGTATGGCAAATGTTCTCAGCCACTGAATACTCTACTGTACCATATTCAGTTGAAAGCCTTCAGCAATGTTTGTTATGTACCCCTCAGGAGCCTTCCTTTCTGCCGTATATTTTTGTGTTCTAGTGAACTGTTTGAAACCATAATGGCCAACAAAATGTATGCAAGTGATAGTGCTGAGACTGAGGCGAAGAAACCCAGGAAGAATATTCCACTGGGTGTTAACATGCAGGGCTTCCAGCAGCTTGAGGAGCCTTTGATGAAAAGGTCAAAGTAACAGATGGTAAAGATCAGCAGGAAATTAGGGATTGGAATAAGTCCTTTTGACATTCTGAAGGGCATTATAAAACATCTCTGTAGGATTGCCCAACAGTTGTTTGAAAAATTCCTAGAAGAAACTAAGGCTGAAATATGTCATGACTTCTAGTGATTTAAAAAAAAAACGAAAGAGTGCCTGCCACTGTATAATGATTTAACAAAAATGAAAGAGTGCCTGCGCTGTATAATGCCAGGAACTCATCTTTATAGGAACTATGTGCTTAGGACCCTGTATGATGCAGATATAATAGGTACTCTTTCTTTTTCAGAAATGAATGTCTCACACCAAAATCATATTTCTATATTCTAGGTTAATTTTGATCAGAGAAGACTGAAGTAGAATTAATTTTCCTACAATATGACATTTTTCATCAACTACTTAAGGTGACTTTAGCTTTTTAAACAGCTACATAACACTGTTGACCCATCTTAAGCTTCTTCAACAAAGACCTCCACATTTTTTTCGGGTAAAATTCTACAAAGCCTAATTCTGTTCCTCACCACCACTCTAATATGTAATCTGATCATGGTGGTGATGAGGACCATGACTAATTTTTATTGGGCACTTACTTAGCTCCAGGCACAATTAAGTACTTTTCACTATTTCAGGAAATCCTCACCACAGACTTATGAGGTAATTGCTTTTATTATCTGTATCTTATGTATGGGGGGTATTATAGAAGCTGGATAACTTGCCCAAGGTCTTATAGTTAGTAAATGGTGGAGCTGGGATCAGTGGAGCAGTTGGGATGATGTCAGATGTTGAATATGTTATTTATGATGTCAAATATCTATCCCAGGTTGGAATGTATTTGTAAACTACATGACAGTAGGATTTGATCTGAAACAGTGCTTGCTTGGTTCAGAATAAATGCTGAATGAATGAATATGTTGTGAGCCTGTTGATCCATGAATTCACTAATAAGCATCTGTGATGCAAAGCCCAATTCCTCCTGCTGCAAATCATGTCTGTCAATCTTAATGTGTACCGCAAATGTTTTTTAAAGCCATGATTTCATAATTGTAGGGTTCCACAAAAACATCCTCTTGGGAGAGTCAGCAGCATTAAGGCATAGCAGTATTTTTGTTCAGGACACATTAGGTATCTCTGATTTTCCAATATCTTAAATGCTAGTAACAGCTTCAGATATGAAATTACTTAGTGAGCAATTCTAATAGGAGAAACAAGATCTAAAAGAGAAACATATAAGTCTCTCAATGGAAACTGGCATGAGTCATGCTAGCTCTAAAGAAATATGGTATCCATCACTGAAATCATGCAGCAAAAGAAACTAAGCTGAAATGGTTGAATTGAGCTTTCTCAAAGACCAGTTGACCTATTTTGTCCAATGGTATGTGGGCAGAACTGATATACGCTACTTCCCAGCAGAAAATTTCAGAGGCCTTATGTAATATACTGCCACATGGGGCTTTTTCTCTGTCACCAGGCCAGCAATGTCCCAAATATGAGTGTTAGCCTGGGTCCCAGAGTGAAGAGGACATCTACTCAACCCATTATGATAATGCAGTACAAGCAAGAAATAAGCTAAGTCCCTGAGGACTTGGGATTGTTACCACAGCATGTGTAACCTAAGCTGACTAAGAAACTATAAATATGCTTGGCTGGGCATGGTGGCTCACGCCTGTATTCCCAGCATTTTGGGAGGTCAAGGCAGGCGGATCACCTGAGGTCAGATGGTTGAGACCATCTGGCCAACATGGTGAAACCCCATCTCTACTAAGAATACAAAAAAATTAGCTGGGTGTGGTGGCACACACCTGTCATCCCAGCTACTCGGGGGTCTGAGACAGGAGAATCTCTTGAACCTGGGTGGTGGAGGTTGTGGTGAGCCAAGATCGCACCCTTTGCACTCTAGCCTGGGCAACAGAGTGACACACCTTCTCAAAAAAACAAAACAAAACTATAAATATGCTTAAGGAAATCAGGGCTAAATGTGGAGAAACACGTTAGGCACAAGAGGAAGAACAACACCTTGCAGTCCCGGGCACTTCCAGAGAGGTGAGAGCCTAAGTGCAGACACCACCGCCGAGGCATAGTTGGACAGACTGGGTGGAGGGGCAAACACAGAGTAGATGCACAGTTCGTGCTGGAACCAGATCCACAGTTGAGGGCCCAGGAATAAAATGAAAGAAAACAGTATCTTCATGTGGCAGAAAGTGAATAACATTTATTTTAGCATATTCATTTCATCGAATCTTACTGCTCTTCCCTATCATAACCAACCCATTCCATAAGCCCTTCCTTTGAAATACATAGCTCGCTACCATCTGTTAGTACCCTAAAATCAATCAAATACCCAGTAGATTTTTATTTTACTTATTTATTGGTTAAAAGAATAGTTTTAGATTATGCATCTCAAAGTCCGTGGCATTGAGAAGTCACTGGCCTGGAATACCCTGCCTCCTGCAAAAATCAACTGACCTATCTCACTTCAGTCCATTTCAAATATTTAGTTTCTAATTAGATTTCATTTGTGCAAAGGGTTTTGCAACCAAAAATGCTTAAAATCACTGCCTCTGATGAGGCCATGGGCTCATTTCAACTATTTTGAAATGATTATCATCAAATTCTGTGGGCTCTGTTTTGGTCTGTCCTAATCTCAACCCTTCTTTTCAGAGCATGTGGCAGAAGCAGCTTCACTACAGAGATAAATATTCATGTGCATTGCATTTTGCTCACAGGCACTGTGTAAACTATATTTAGAACTCTGAATGTTGAGATGTACTGTGTCAACATTGAAATTTAATTACTGTGATGGACTTTAAATCCATGTACCTTCTTGCACTGCAGAGTGAATATTACCTCTTGTGTTTCTTCATTCTCCTTTACGCTCCTATAGAACAGGGTTGCAATCTGTTTAACCAGAACACCCACCTGCCCTTCTCCTCCAAGTGAATGAAATGAACTCTCAGTTTTACGACTGTTTTATCTTTGTATTGTGAAAAAGAAATATTGTCTTGCTAAACTCTTTGGACACTTCCCAATATGCACTATCTCTCTGCTACTCCTATTATCACTCATTCTGGTAATAAATGATAATGTTCGTTGCTAGGATTTGTAAAGCACTGTCAAGTTAGCCCATTATTTTAAACTCAGGTTAAAGTAAGGATTTTAGATTTATATAAGCCTGGTGCAGTTTCATTAAGAACCAAAGGCATTTTAATTTTTCTCCCTCTACCCAAGGGCCTTTACACTTCTTAATGTGACATTAATCAGTGTTTTAATATTTCTTCAAAATGTGTCTATTCTCTGTATGCTATTTACTGTCTTTGTCAAAGTCAATGAACAGGAATAAAAAGTAACTACATGATATAGAAACTACTGTCTTCTTGGCCCTTGTGTAATAGGTAAGTGGATGCTGTTAAAAGTGAATCCATCCATGGTGCTTTTCCTATTTCTGTATAGGATTTTGGTTTCATTTTAAATGAATGTCATAAACCCCAGGTCTGAAAACTAATAGAATTTTTGCATTTACCTACTAATCTATAACCTTTAGGTTAGACTGTGTGTCCATTGGCAGTCAGTTCGTTGGATGATGCAATGCTTTAACACTGAATGAAAAGATTTCTGCTATATTCCAGACACCAGATATGAAGGCCATTTTGGGTGGATTATTCTTAGAATGACTTTATATTAGACCTGATGGGTAGTATAGAATAAGCTGTAGGAGCTAGCTACAGTCCCTTAAATGAGAGAAGACAAGGAAAGAGACATGTTTGATTACCTGACACTGACTCACTTTGGGAGATGGAAGGCTAATTAGGAGTCCAGGGATTGGCAGAACATATTGTCTGAGTCCTGGTCAGTACACAGTGAGTGTGTACACTGTTGCTGGCTGGCTGGTCCCCATGGAGACATTACTGCTCGATCAGTTCTCCTCAGCGCCTATGTGTCCAGAGCTGTGACTGTGGCTTTGAGATGCCTGGTTAAAGGGCAAAGTTCTCTAGATGCTGAGAGTCTGGCGAACATGTGGAGGAGCCTGCATTCTGCTGCCCATCATGGCCCTGGGCAGTATGATGCAGTATATGCTTGCACACAACGAATCAGGTCCAAATCCCACTTCTAGGCTTACTGCTTGAGTGACCTTGGGAAAATTATTTAATCTCTAAATTGGTCTCTTCATCTGTAACCTGATGTTGGTGTGAGGATTAAATGTGATAATCCAGGAAAAGTGTCCCGTCAAGTTCTGGGCACATAATGGGCTCTTAATAAATGGAAGTTAAAAGGAGAGCCTGTCCCTCAGGCAGTTCAAATCAGGTCTAATGACTTCCAATGGATCAAGAGACGTGGCACGTGTTTGGAAAAACCTGGAGGCTGGGATTGGTGAGTGGGAGGCTCAGGGTACCAACAGGTGCAGACAGGCCCTTCTACTGGCTGTGGCAGCACCAGCTCTCCATAAACATCCATCAGTTAGGATCCACCAGGCCTTGAGGAGAGTAAAGAGGACACTAGGGGAGCTCTCCCTGGGAAACCTGGCATAAACCCAAAGGAGAAGAAGGTAGGACACAGGGATGATGAACATAGAGAGCACATGTTTCTTCTTTTCCATTTTTACACACAGCCAGTCTGCTCCTGACTAGACCAGATCTCAGCCTAGATCCCATTCCTCTTTGTATTGCATATACCCCTAAAGACATATTAAAAGAGAATGATAGACCCAGTGAATGCTTAGTAGCCACAAGTAGTTTGTTTTTTGTTTTTTTAATAGGATCTGTCCAAAGAAATACAACTTAAAAAAATGAAACATTCTACCTAGTTTTTTTTTTTAATGTAGCCATATCCAAATAAAGTGTATGATCCCTTCCCCACCTATCTACTCCCTTTCATGTTTTCTTGGTTTCTGCTTTTCCACCACAGAAAACTTCAGTGTCTTTGTGCTACATAGAACACAAGGGATGGATCCATCAAAGTTACTCAGAAATATAAGCTAAGGAAAAGAAGAAATGAACTGAATGAACTTCAAAACTAATAGCACAAAAGTAATGCACTTGATATTTGCCATGGACAGGATACTGTAGGTCAGCACGTGTGCTAGTTGGCCATTTGCCTATGTAGACTTAAATCCATTTCCCTCCCTTCCTCTATGCTGCTGTCAATCACAGGAAACACCATTTGGGGGGCTCCCTTGACAACTAGCTTCCAGTAGTTTTGACAATCATGGGTACTAGCAGAAAACTGTAGGATGAGGAAAGGGGAGAAGTCCCCGTATTTCTCCCTCTGCCTTGGGGAGGCATTTCCAGCAGGAAGAAGCTGTATCTTCTGGGGCTCCACTCCCACTAGACATCCCTTTCCTTCATGGTCCCAGCTTCTGCCAGGCAGTCACTAGGCTCCACTTGTTCCAACCTGAGTAACTGGTTTCTGAAAATAGCACATCCTAGAGGCAGTGGCTTCCTGTTCTTATATATCTTTGAATTGCCTCCCCTGTCCCCGATTAGCTTTTCAGGTCATGTATCATCTGTGTAACCAATTCCAAGTATTAAATTTTCTCTGTTTAAAGCACTTAGTGTAGTTTTTATTTCCTGTGTCGATGCTGACTGATACATTGGTGATTTGAATCTATTCTGCTCAGTGAATTAGTAGAATGGGAAAGTTAATGTCTTTAAGCAGCTATGTCTCTATGCAGCTCTGAATAAAAACAAAAATGCATAAATAATGTACTAAGGCATTTCATCACAGCAAAACACTGCTTTGGTTTCTGATATTTCATGACATTTGCAAATATCTCCTTATTTGTTATTCTGGGGAGTTTTCATTAGGGCTAAACTATTTCACATGACAAGTACTTTTACAGCAGTTTGCAAGAATCATGCACTTTCCCAGGTTAAAAAAAAATAACCCTGAACTAAATTTTCTCTCCACCTTGTGCCTCCTGACATAGGGTCCATTTCTAGCCAACAGACCTTCCCAGTGTCCTGATGTAAAGAAATCTCCCTGGCCCACAGGACAAACGTGCCCTGACCAGCTTTCCACGATCCCCTTCTGAGCTGGAAAAGCTGGAGATAATTTTATTAAGTGGTTAAAGAATAAAACTTGATAATTCTTGTAAGAGTTCAGACAATGAATGGCTTATAAAACGGGCCATTAAAATAATTCATGTCTGAAATTCAGCATTAATATGATGCAACATGTCAGGTGGGGGAATTGACTCCTCAGAGCTCTACTCCTAACTGGTTGGCTGCTTGAGTAATATTAAGAGAATCCATTTGAAAGAAAGGGAATAGAAATACTGACTCGTTCTAAGGATAGTTTAAGTGAGCTTTGAAAATAGCAAGATCCCACTACAAGTAGATGAACTGGGCATTCAGATACCTAATGAGTTAGAAAGCAATTCTTCCTTGATACCCAGCACCCCTTCATGCATCTAGTTTTTGTCCATACCCAACTTGAGAAGTAGGGAACAACAATAGTCCTTACTTTCTCCCTGAGAGGTGGGAGGAGGGCTCCAGTTCTCCTCTTGTAATCCATTTTTTATTCAGCATCACCTTCTCTTTCAATGGGCTAAGTATCATACAAACTGGGGATGCATCTTAATTAATTCTGGCCAGGTCCAATGGCAGTTTAGAGCAGGATCTGCAAGTGGCCTTGGAAAATGTGCTCAGTATAGCCAACTTGTACCCTTGAGGACCTCTATACTTAAGATGTACCTGTGTTTCTGCTCCCCATCAACTGGGATCCATCGATCTCTCTTTGTAATCGAGACCCATACTTTACTGAGGTTCTGAGCAGCTGCTCAACATGACCACATTTCATTTGCCATTACTTTTTAGTGTCTTTTAATATGAAGGAATACATTCACTCTGTAGAAAAATAGGATTAGGATTTTAGGAAGGCTCTCAAATAATGCAACAATAAAGTCTTCAATACCCAGTTGTCAGATGTTTCAGTAAATTGCGAATATCAGATTACTTCTTAAAAATTATTTCAAACACACACTGGGAATTAAACAAGAGCCATATATTAGAAAAGGAAATAAGCTTACCTTTTCTATTGCTAGACTCCAGGCACCCACATGGATCTTCGTGATGGAGATTTTAACAACACTGCTAATGCTGACTTATTTCCAATCAGAGCTGAGAGATCAAAAAAGACAAACCCTCTATGGATATACTCATTTTTTTAAACCCATATTTAAAATTAATAATTTTCTTAGGCATTCAACAGTGAATAATAAAGCTGAACTCATTTATTTAAAGTTTTAAAATAGCTCTAAATTAGTTTTCTGTGATACAGGACGCCAGTATTCAGAAAGCCAGTAACTGTCTCACTGTTTCATCCCTGAGTGTGGAATCTTGGGCAAGTTACTTAATTGTACTCATGTCCATTTTCTCTGGAAAGTGCATATGATAACAGGGCTCACCTTGGTTGGTTATTATGAATATTAAAGTAGATGTTTCATTTGATTATTATTCAATAAATATGCATTGAGAGTCTCCTATGTAACATACATGGAGCTTGCCCTGTTGAACTTATGGTTTGGAAAAAGAAATAGAAATTAATCAAAGAATAATATAAATAAGTATAATTATAGCTAGATAAAAGCTACTAAAGGAAGATATTTGATGCTCTAAGAATACATGACAGGAGACTGCACTTAATCAGTGATGATAAAGGTTAGGAAAGGTTCCCTAAAGAAATACAAATGAGATATGAAAGATTGGTAAGAGTTAACTAGGCTGTGTGTGCGTATGTGTGTGTGCATGTGTGTGTGTGTGTGTAGGGGCTGGAGTGGACATTTCAGGCAAAGGGAATAGCTGGCATATATACCCAGGTTTCCTCTGGAAATTCACCACCCTGAGGCAACCACTGTTAACCTCCTTTCCAGTTATGTTTATCTTTTATTTTCAGCTAAATAAATTTTATTTTGATTCAGAAGTCTGGGGAATTACTTTGACATTAGGTGTGTGTGTGGTGGAGGGTCCTCTGATGATATGTGCCTGTATTTTTTCCAGAGTGCCCAGGGCAAGTGTGTATGATGCAGATTTATCCTGGACATACATCATGGACACATATTACCATTCATTCAGAAAATATTTATATATTTATCAAGCACCTGCTTCATGCCTGGCATTACCCTAAACACTGAGGACAGAGATTAATAAGACACAGGCTCTGTCTAGGACTTTAACCCTCAGTTGAGTGAGTGAGATAAGAAGACACATATTTGTATTATGCCACATCAGAGTTGTGTATGTGAGGTAATAAATTCTGGTAGCATGGAAAATGGCCTGGCTGCCTCTACCTGGGAGGGCCATGAAGACTACACAGAGGAGGTCATATGTGAGCAGAAATTAAAGGAAGCCTAGGAAGGACGTTCCAGAAGAACATGTACCGGGGCACCTCATCTATGTCCCTAGGACCTAGAAGAAGAGTGCCTGGCATGTCATGCTTCAATAATAAATATCTATCTAATTTATAACTGGCACAGGAAGAAGTTCTGTGAGTTATTCTGAGTGTATCAAACATAACATGCAAGTAAACGGTCAGCCTGCAGACAAGAGGCCAGAAATGTAAACAGAGGTAAAATTGTGAAGATGTTCTTATGCAAGGTGAAGAATCCCAGATTTGATTCCCTAGTTTAAATGTTGGAAAGCAACTGAAGCCTTTTAATCAAGGAGAATGACATAATCAGCTTTGCTTTATAGAAAACTCACTGTGTCAGCACTTTAGGGGATGGAAAAGTGGGAGAAAAGACTGAAGGCAGGGAGACCGTCAAGAAGAGATTATACTTGTCCAGAACAGAGATGGTGAGGTTTGGAGTGAAGGAAGATGAAAAGAATGCATTTCAGAAACATTTTGAAGTAAAATCCTCAAGAATACACAGGATTAAGGAAGAACAAAGAGACGGGGTGATGAAGAAATGTCTCTGGCCTACACGACTGCTGACACCATTCCTTTTGAGATGGGAATACAGAAATGAGAAAAGGGTTGAGAGAATGCAAGATCACTTTGGGGCATGGTATGGATAAGGTGCATGGGTGTATGCATGAGGGAAATGTCCAGATGGAGAGACCATTGGGCCTCTTATACAGACTTGGGAATCATAAAATCGCTTTCCAGGAGAAAATAGAGAAGAGAAGGCACCCAGAGAACATCTGGAGCCCCTGACCCTGGCTCTATCACCACCCACTCCTCTTCACCTCAGACTTCCTGGTCACTCCTTCCTACTCACTGAGGACCCTGTGGACTGGCTCACATGTCCCCACTGCCTAAATTCCTGCTCTTGCTCAGCTGTTTTCCCTTGGCAAATTAGCTATCATATCAGGTATTGGCCTTTTCAGGACAATAAAACCAGAATAAATGCCGAGAGGCATCTTACCTTCTCTAGCGTAGCATTTGGGGACACAGAGGAGAAGAAGTGTGCCTTACATAACTTGGAATGGCGGGGAGTGAAAAATCTTACAGAGAAGCCAAAAACTATTTTATACAATTCTACTTTGTAAAGGGGGATTCTTTTCCACATACAAAGAACCAAAAATACTCGTTTTGTCCTCCTTTTTTTTTTTTTTTTTTAAATGTATGTGCACTCACGGTTGCTAAGAATTAATACTGACAACATGATTTTTTCTAAATAATTCCTTGGGAAAGCACTTAAAGCCTCCATTTGTTATCCAAATGTAATGTGAGGACAAGAACAGAAGAATTATTTCATAAAGAAAATAATCAATGAATCATTTATCAGTTTTCCTGCCCTTTGTATAACAAATTGTAATTAGTATGATGTCTTTGTTGGCAAGTGCTTATCAGACAAAATGCAGTATAGAAGCAAAGGAAGATTCTGTAAAGAACTGTGTTGTTTTGAAGACCTAATTGTGATGTTATCTCTGGAATTTTAGTGATTACATTGTTAATTTTTGATTTGGTATCCTTAAGAGCAACAAGGTTATTAGCACCTACCTGGAGTTCTGAATGCCCACATTACATAACACAATCTTGGCATGGTGAACATTTGGAAATAAACATTTGCCTAAGATAGAAAAGAGATTCAGAAAGCTCTGATGGCCTTGGACAGGGCACAATTTTGAGAAATTGAATGTGGCAGAATAAAAAGAGGTTTTATCAAGCATCTTTCTAAAGTGCTTTCATACATTTTCTCTTTGGTAAAGAATGTACCACACCCCATCAAGAGCGTTAGAATGGCCTCTCAGACACTTCTTCTGAGACTCTTTGCTCTACTTTCCCCAAAGTTTGTTTTCACTCCAATAATTAATTTTTGAGTGCCTACTACCTGTGATACTTGTTGGAAAATCAAAGATAAATGGGGCCCAGTCTCTGCTTTCAAAGCACTCACACTGGCATCTAGTGGGAACACAGGCCTGTCAACAAATGGTTTCAGTATGATGTAACAAGCATACTGATGTGGCGATCATAGAGACAGGGATGGCAGAGGAGGGAGACTTACTCATTTGAAATAAGCCAGCTATGCACTAATGGAATCTCTGAGGATTACTAAGATTCCCACAGAGCCCATCACAAGTATCATGAGAAATACCCCAGGGTGGAAGGGGGCCCTCGTGCTGCCCCTTCTCCCCTTATTTAATCAGCATGGAGCCCCTGGATTGGCTTTGAACATGGTTCTGAACAGGGCCTAGGGGTTAACTTTCAATGACTGCTGAAATCCAGTCAGATGACTATGTGATTTTAGTCGTGGCTCATGGAAATAAATATGCTTTTTTTAGGAATATAAACATAAAATTACTAACAAAAATGAAGCTATTTCTACATGTCCAGAACTATTTTTTAATTAGAGAACTAGCAGTCTCATCAGTCAATATTACAAATATGATATTCCTTTATTTCCATCTGCAAACTGTTCATGAATAAACAGAAAAGAAGAATACACCTCATCTACCCAATTCTTTACAGGTTATGGCCTGCTCTTAGAAACATGTTTATCCCTTTTCTCAATACTATATTGACTTTCAATACCTTCTAAAGAACCAAAGATCTCTAATACACTCTTGTTCCTCTGTTTTCAGAGAATGTGTGTTACCAAATTTAACTGTGTAATAAGTTATTCTTAATTACATTCGGATATTGTCTCCTCATAAAGGAAAACTAAATAACAATAGATAAACGGATGGATGAATGGATGCATAGATTAGTTAGCTAGCTAGGTGATACAATACATAGATGTAGATAGATAAATACATAGCCAATAGATAAAGCTGCTCCTTTGGGCTCCTTAACCTCTTCGATCAGCTTTCAATAAATTATAATACCACTTAATTAGCCTGAATGAGTACCTATTGCAACACTGATTCTTGAATTGATTTACGTGACCACTCAACAGATATGTCTAGATATATAAGAGAATGTAACACACCGTTCCTCATCTGTCTACAGCCTTTCCAGGGAGGTAATTGATCATAGTATAGTGTTACACTGCATCCCACATCCAGTTTTCCCTATTATTAGCATTTTACATGAATATTTTTCATTTGTCACATTGATATATTACATTATTATTAACCAAAGTTCAAACTTTATTGAAATTGTCTTAATTTTTCAAAAAAAGGAGAGATGTTTTGCCAGGTATGTCCTGCAGACCCTGGCCAAACAATAGATGAAAGGAGTACTCAGACACAGATATGCAGTGTAAGAGCAACTAGGGGACTGCCAAAGAGTGAGCAGTCTGGATAAGGTGGGGCTCCTTGCTTTTATTTAGTACAGACATAATGTCAAAAGCCTGAAGCCAACACAGTCTGTGGGTAATGAACATTATTGTTCCTCCTTTCAGGGAGCAGTCTCGTGCTGGCATGATCAAAGGTCGGTTCCTGGTTAATATAAGTAAACAATCCTGTTTACACTAAATTCACCTACACTTCCTTGTACCTCCTCCTTGCCCTCTGCTTCATGGTAAGAGAACAGCTACCTTCAGCTTATTCTCCCCAGAGCTATGCAGAGACTTCCGACCTTTCAGAAGATTTGCACCCTTTCCCTGTAATTTCTCCCCCCACTCTGACTGATCTCCTACAGTGTTTAACTGGGATTATATTCTAAGCTCAATCCATTGCACACTTAAAGTGTTCAGAAAACACTCAGAATAGTGGACAAGAATCATTTCAAGTCC